CCCCCTTTTTCTAAGGTCCTGATCATAAAAAGTTCAATCTTGTGAAGGACATTGCTGGTAATGAGATTGAACTGACTTTCTTGTTTAGACTCCACAGATATAGTAGCCATTGTGTTCTGCCCAGGCTTGGGTGCGGCATAAATTCTTTGAATAGATTGCCCAAGGCTTGGAGTCATCTGGGCATAGAGATAGTCTCTGTCCAATACGATGTCACTCTTATCTGTAGTATTCATTCTCTCATTACTTGTTAACCAATCAAAGTTGACTGCCACCCCTCTTCCAAAAGAACATATAAGCCCTGAGCCACTGCCATGATTGTCTTTGGTCTAAGAGACATGGCCAAATTACCATCCTTTTATTAATAAATGTTCTGACCTTATTAATAAAATGATTAAATTACCCAGAAACTATGTCTCTTGAATCTTTTTAATCGCCACAGTAAAGATGAATTTCTGTTGTGGTTGGTTCCCTAACGGGAGACTGCAAAAGATGGAGTGAAGAAAAGCCATGGGTTTTGCAGCCATTAGATTGCACTTTAGAGCTTGCCAGAATACCAGGTGTGAACAGATCAATTAGTGAAATTTGAGCAAGTGACTAGGACAGCTGTGGCTATCAAGACAAATACAGTTGTTACTGCAAATAGGCAATTTTGGGGGTGTTAGAGGAAGGCACAAAAGCATTGCACTTACTGCCCCAGAGGTCAGCCAGACAAGCATTTATTAAGTGTTTACTACACTCCAGGCACTGTATTACAAAACTTCAGAATCATGAAATTACTAAGAAGCCAATCCATCCCTAACAAATGGTATACCATGAAACTCGGGAATAGGGCAGTAAGGGCCTCTCTGCCCTACCCAAGTTCAAGCTATCCCCTAAAGCTCCAACCTACTTCGAAATCCTAAGTCAACCAAGTCTCTCTGTATAGACTTGAAAGATTTTAGGTACAAGTGGCCCTTGGGACCAATACCAAGATTATCTCAAGACTTTGGCCATCCTACTTGTAGAACTGCAAGATGACTGGAGGCTATATGCCCAAGTCATGGTGGCCTAGAAAGGAATGTGGACACCAAATAAATAAGAAGCTCCTTATCACCAGTAGTGAGGTTACTATCATCCTAGTAAGCCTCAAAAGGTCCTAACACCCCAATTTCCCATCATGCTTTTCAGGAGGCAAGCCACTAAGGAAAGAGGCATCTTCACAGAGGTGGAGGGCTATAGCCACGGAATACTGCATTTAATATTAGACTTTTTCCAATATTTTGGCTAATTTTTCTTTTTTTTCTTCTTGTTTAATAAAGTATCTCTTTGGGAGGGAGAAGTAGGGTGGATATATTGAAAAACATAGATATGTAAAAATAAAGGATATCAATTAAATTTTATTTTAAAATAATTCCATTTCAGCCAAGACAGGATTAAATCAAGGAAAATGACCCAGAGGTTAATAGAGGGGACTCTCATAACCAATTCGACAGAATTTTTTCCCAGTGGCAACCTAGCAAAAGAAATCATTTCCTTCTTAGGCTTCTTTCTGATGCATCAGCAATTGTGCCAGCAAAGGGCATTGAAGGGTAGCAAGCAGATCTTCCTCCAACATATTTATTGACCATGTACACGGTATAAAGCATTTGATTCAAAAGACCTAATGCCACCTTTAAGACCTTTCTCCAACAAGGTTAAGAATGAATAAAACTTCTTGACAGATGCAAGGACAGGGATACCTTCATTCAGTGATCCTCTGGTTTTCAATATGAAATGAAGCATATCAAGGAGGCATATTCTTCTCAAGAATACTCATCAATGTCATGTTGTTCGTTTGTGTCTGACTCTTCATGACTCTATTTGGGTTTTCTTGGCAAAGATACTGGAATGGTTTGCCATTTCCTTCTCCAGCTCATATTACAGACAAGAAAACTAAAGCAAACAGGGTTAAGTGACTTGTCCAGGGTCACACAGCTAATAAGTGTCTGAGGCTGGATTTGAACTCAGGAAGATGAGTCTTCCTGACTCCAGGCCCAGCACTCTATCCACTACACCACTTAGCTACCCAAGGTCATTGTAGGATGTCCTATATATAGGTGCTGAGGTCTTTCAGATGCTCTTGTTCATGCATCAAATTATTGTACCGTCCTTGGAATACAGCAGGGATCCAAAGCCACTCAGAGTGTCAGATTAACAATCCACACACAAAAAAAAAGATAAGTAAAAGTGATAGAGAATGCATCCTGCCTGGATTATAATCTGTCCATTGTTAGTCCAATAAAACACATATTATGGACAGACACAAGGAGAAATTACCTGACCCTAGATTTGGAGAGTGGATTGTATTGAATTTGGGAGACAGTGCAGTGCTCTCAATGGGAGAGGCAGCAAGATGCAGTCGATAAGTATTGAACTTGGAAGTCAGTCTGGACCATGTCTCCGTGACTTGCTTCCTATGTAACCCTAGTCAAGTCATTAACCTTTCTGGGTCTCTGTTCCCTCATCTGTAAAATAAGAAGGTTAGATTAGATGACTGCTAATGACTTGCTAGCCACTTGTTCATTTCCCTAGAACTAAGCCTCCATCTACTTCCAAAAGGTATTCTACTCCAGATCTGACACCTTCCCACAGTTTAAAACTCAATAGAACCAGTCACAAGATGAAAATGCCACATTACTTTCAACTATGATGTACAATGCATTACCATTGTTCACCTTCATGCCTCAGGCTTCCAAAATCTGTTCCTCAATTCCTGGTAACAGCTGAATCAATTGGCCTGAATCAATTGCACTGGTTTGATTCATTTGTTTGTTTACTAGTAGAATCCTACATTAAAGATGGGATTATTTCACGTTGTTCAACTGTCTGGCCCTTCTCCAACTCTCTCCTTTCCGAGCCTCTCACTGAGTTCAAAGGCAACCTTCTCTCCACCTCTGCAGACATGCAAAGAACTAAGGATGGGTTACCTTTCTGTTACTTCTTAGTAACAGTTAATTCTAACTATTCTTTGCAGCTTCGCTCTCTAGTCTATACAAATTCTGTATCTTCTAAGTTAGTTTAAAATGCCCATCAACAATAACCAATCTGAATGAATTTTTCAGTTCCCTTACCTTCCATTTTTTGGTTCAACTAATGCATTTTCCTTGATTCCTCATTTTGGTATCATGATGCAAATCTAATGTGTACAGAAAATGGGAAAAGTCACAAAGTTTCATATTAAATGTCCTAATTCAAAAATCACTTTCCCCACACTATCTTCTGTTTTCATTAGAAAAAAACACTGTCGTTAAACAAAATAAATATCCTTAAGAACCAAAGAGGGCAGAGAAACTATCAGGCTCTCTAAATTACTAAAATCCCACAGTCTCTAATTAAAATTTCCAAGAAATAAATGCATACAATTTATACAAAGTATGCTAGTGACAACTCCAGTTTCTAGGGTTAAAAAGAAACCCTTCACCAGAAGCAAACACACACATTCAAAAGTTTCCTCAAGCTCTAACACAAAGACTTTCCAACAGCATTGCATAGTGTGTTATTTTCTTTCCAGAAAATTCTAACACTATGTAATTACTTCTGCATGGAAAATGAATAATCTAAGGCTTAAATGCGAAAAAGCTACTACTCGGGAATGGTCCAAATCAAAAGGCTTTCCTGAAACAAAATAAAAGATCATACTGGAAAATACCAGTGCAATGACAGTCATGGAGCAAGGCTCTTGAAGAATAATTACTGTGGAACAAAGGAAGGGATAGGGGGAGGGAACTTCTGTGGAAAACCTTTTTTTTTCTCTCATTTGTGGAATCGTTGTGTTATCTTCCATTTTAGAGGAGCTCTTACTTATTCCCCCCAAAATAAATTTGAAGGAAAGCATTACTCAGAATTGAACACGGGAGCTCAAAACCTTCCAATTAAAAACATCCAAAATATCAAATGGGCTTCCTTTAAGGCTGCAATGATGAGATATTGAAAAACCAGAATCCACTTTCTTGTTATTGGTCTGCTGTGACACCCTCAGTTCAGGGGAAGGGCCCTTCAGTGTTTGCCAGAACTAATCACAACATGGACCTTTGGACACCTCCCCGGGCTGAGAGAATACCTTTGCAGAAGACCACTATTGGGCATCAAAGGTGCCCCGCCGCTCCAGAAATGCGATAGCATCAGAGCTCTACGTGATTTCACTCAGCAGAAAGGAAGACGAGAACTGGACAGCTTCTTCTGTTCAGTCCTTGTAACGCATTCAGGGGCTTGGAGAAGATAAAGCATGGCCCCTTCTGTGCTGATCCCAAGGGGCTGCTTTTTCTACCCAGAATTGTCACAGTACAAAAGGCGTTAAAACAGGAGTAACTCCGCGCTAGAAATAGCTTAAAAGCTCGAACCTTCCTCTAACCCCGAACCTTTAAGTGAACAAACAGTCGCGTGTGCGGGACTGTAGGGATTCTTCATATCAGCACACAAGAAAAACAAACACGTTTGGTTCAAGCTCTGACCTCGACCCTCTCTTGATCCCCCTCTTCCGAACCCCTTCAACTTCGCTCCCCAATGCCAGTCTAAAGGGACAGCCATGTTAGAAGACTCCTTAGAGGGCCAAAGAGTGACCAGGGTGCTCCCGCCCCCTCGGGAGCGCGGGCCAGGGTCTTCGAGGACTCCTCCGCTCTCCCTCCTCCCTTCACCCCACTGCACCTCCGCCCCCGACGACTGCGACCGTTTCCTAACTATTTCATACCAACGGTTCCTGCCCGATCTCTCTCTCTTGGCTTAGCAGCGGGGCCCCTGAAAGATACTTTGTGCCCGAAGTGGCCTGAATGACTCGGACGTGGTAAGGGCTGCGTCCTGGATGCCCACCGGTCTGTCTCGCCTGCAGGTGCCAGTGGCAGCAGCAGGTCGCCCTACCTGTCCCCACCCCACCCCCAAGCCAGTCTCACAACCTTCGCCGTCTCAGCGAAACGTTGCCTCTAGCCAACCCTGCCACCACCAACATCACCACCACCACCACCCACCGCTCTCGGGGGGAGTCTTACTTTTTTGGCTGGAATATCCCGGATAATAGCCATAATAGCCCGTGATCCTTAAGATTCTGTCCTCGATGGTGGCCACCCCGTTGGGAGTCGCCTTGACATCCATAGAGAACTCCAGGCGCTTGCACCCGGGAGGTGCTGGACGGGAAAGCGAGAGGATGGGCGCGAGGATCTGGAGGTGATGCAGGTGCCGCTGCCGCCGCCGCCGATGCCGCAGCTGGTGCTCGGGCTCTGACTCCACCGCCCCGTGCAGGACAGGCTCAGCATCACAGCAAAAGCAGCAGCAGCAGCAGCAGCCCCCACTTCTCGCCGGCCTCTGTCAGCCAGTCAGGCTTCCCCACCAAGCCACAGGGCTCTCTCCTCTTTCCAAACAGCGCTCCCTCCCTCTACCCTCACCTCGTTTCCCTCTCCAACTCCGCCTTTAACCTCCTCCTCTGAGCCTCCGACGACGACTTCAGCGGCAGAGTCAACAAGGGAGAGATGAAGAAAGAAGAGGAGAGTGGTGGGGAGGAGTGTGTTTTTGTGTACATATGCACATACCTGGACAGGGGCATTAATTACTAACCCATTCGTCTTCTTTCTCCATCTTCAACTGCTAGCAGCTCTGGGCTTGTCTCCTTTCCCAAAGGCGAGACCTCCAATCCAAAACGATTGCTGGGACTGGAGGGAGCTGAGAATAAAGGGGGCAGATTAGAGGAGGTGGGAGAACTAAACGTGGAAACCCCAGTTCAGCCGATTTTGTGGGACCTCGGAGCTATTTATGTAAAGTGAAGCTCTGGTAGATAACACCTCTCGTATTTCCCATAGCTTAAAATAATGCTGTATCTCTAATTTACCCACGATTTTCCTCCCTGAAAAAGAGCTCCACACGCGGTGATCAGTTCTCACAGCATCCCCAAGAGGTGGATATCCTGTTTAAGATTATCCAATGTCATGCAGTAGTATTATTATAATTATTAGAAACTGAGAGAAAATGAGTCACAGAAATGGGAAGTGGCTTACCCTAGGGCACAAAATTTTCTATTTAAAAAAGTCTCCAGTTCCTGACCCTCCATAACTGGACTCCTGCTTCCTCCCTAACAGTCTTTAGTGACTTTGAATATCAGCTGTTATTTTGCCATCGGTGCTCCCTTGACAGCGGCTTCCCTGGGAGAAAATTCAAAACAGGTTGGGGGGCGGGGGGCGCGGCGGGGAGAGGAACAGATCTCTTGTACAACCCCTCATCGTGACTATTGCAAAGAGTTAGAATCAAGGATCTCTAGAGAAGGTTCGTGGTGTGAACCATCTTTGGTGGAGGCCACATGTGCCCTGGTGACACTTGAGGTGCTGCAGTTGGAATAACAGCCCACACTTGGCTTGTGCCCTACCTTTCATAAGCTTACAATGGCACTTGACCAACGGGGAATTTTTTCCCACCAGGTGGCGACAAACTTGAGCCACCAGCCTAGTGATCTGATCAAGGGCACTTTGAACCTCTGGGCAAAAGGCTTGCAATGGCAAAACACAGCCCCATCAAAAGACCCAATTCCAAAGAAATGGGCAAACAAAAACCCTTGCTGGTGTGGTTCTGACTGAATCTAGGGTATGATATGAAATATGATTCAGGATTATTAAAATATGGCGATTTCTGTGGCTTACTTTGGCCCTAGAAGTGAAAATGTCCTTTAGCTACCAGTTATAAGATTTGCCTGTATCCATAAGATTCAGGGGGGAAAAGAACACATTTGATGCAGCCATATTTTTATTAAACACAGTAAAATTTCATAGAAACTGATATGCATTCCCTTTTGTGGGCCACTTCTTCTTCCAAACCTAAACATTCTTCTCCTCAAGCCTCCCAGCTCAACAAGGTTGCGGAAGCATCAGGAGAAGGAGTTACATGTCTGGGATGTCTGAGTTTAAACAAAAAGACAAGGTTGGTACGAGAATAGTTCATCTCCACTCCTCATGATAACAGGCAATCTCCAGTGCTCTGGAATTTGCTTTGACAGCAAAGCCCATTGCATTCTTGGCCATCAGTTTGCTTCTCAGCTAGATGTCCATATCTCATCTTTCCTACATGTTGCTCCTAATCCCAGATAGAAGCTCAGGCTTCTACCTATAATCCAAGAACCTTAATTCCAAATTCCCTTTGTTATTCAGTCCCATGAAAGGCTTAGAGATTCAGTTTTCCCTATAGCATCCCCTTCTTTCTCTCAGCGCTCAGCCCATAACTGAATGGAAAACTGAAAGTTCTTTCAGGGCAAAGAGAGATAAAAGCACAAAGGAAAAGGGAAGAGACCAACTTACTCAGAAAGTCTTGCCCATGGGCTGACCTCTTTTATGACTTCATTCTTGCTTTTAGCTTATACCTGCCACTTTCAATGTCCTGCTGACTCAGTATCCACTGCAGGAATGTTGAAGGCCCTTTCTGGCTCCCACAGAGATGAAAGTCATTTGAAACCTATGCTACACATAGGTTTAAGTCAGAATCACAAATTTTTAGAGCTGGGAATAACCTCAGGAACCACCTAGTCTAACCTATGCTTGAAAGAAATCCCTGCTATTACACATCCTCCAAAAAATGATGGTCTAATTTCTGCTCAAAGACCTCCAATGTCCAGAGAACCCACAACCTCCTTAGGCAACCCATCCTACTCTTGAATAGTTCTAATTGTCAGGGAAATGTCTTCCTTACATCAAGCTTAAATTTACTTCTTTCAATGCCCACCCATTTCTCAGTGGCCAAATAGAACATCTCATCCCTCATCATATGACACCCCTTTAAATACTTAAATGCAGCTATCGTTTCCCCAGAGTTTTCTCTTCTATAGGCTAAACGTTGTTTACATTATTGTTGTTCAGTCATGTCCAACTCTTTGTGAGCCCATTTGGGTTTTTCTTGGCAAAGATACTAGAATGGTTTGCCATTTCCTTCTCTAGTTTATTTTATAGATGAGGAAACTGAAGCAAACAGGGTTAAGTGACTTGACCAGGGTCGCACAGCTAGTTAGTGTCAGAGGCCGATTTGAATTCTGGAAGACTCATCTTCCTGATTCCAGGCCTGGTACCCTGTCCACTGCCGCCCCTATAGAATAGCCAAATAAAATGTCTAATCCCTCCTGTTATATGATACCCTTTCAAATACTTAAACACAGCTATTATGTGTCCCCTGGGTTTTTCTCCTCTATGGGTCATACATCACCATTTATTTAAACTGATCCTCATTTAAAAACTGATCCTCATCAGAAAACAAACAAAACAAAGCATCTGCTGTTTAACCCAACCTGTTCCAACCTTTGTGCATTTGTGAAGTTGATTTTTTAATCCATATGAAAGATTTTATTTCCCCCCCTTTCAGATTAGATTCAGTCCACTATTCTGGTATGGCAAGACCTCTTTGGATCATGGTTTTGTCATCTAGTATATGAGATTTCCTTCTCAACTTTGTATCATCAGTGCATTTGATAAGCATGCCATCCTCTACCCAAGTCATTGATTAAACATCAGGATGAAAAAAAAACATATGATTCTGAACACACTGCTAGTATGGTGGGTAAATCCCATTGTGTAACAGGACTGGGTACCAATGGAAGAAGATCCTACATGAGGAAACTACAGCACAGTCCCTCTCCACTATGTCTATAGGTCCTCTGTTTTTGCAGACTGCATTAACTGTCCCCCTCCCCCAATCTCTGCAGTATGAATAATATCAGATGCAAAACGTTAGCAGCCGCTAATGTATTTTACAGGGCAGCTAAGTAGTGCAGTGGATAGAGCACTGGACCTGGAGTCAGAAAGACCAGAGCTCAAATGTGACCTCAGATACTCACTAGCTGTGTGACACTGGGCAAGCCACTTAACCCCTGCATGCACTAAAAAAAAAAAAAAACTGGAGAAGGAAATGGCAAAGCAGTCTAGTATCTTTGCCAAGAAAGCCCCATAGACAGTTGGTCCAACAACAATGTGATACTAGACTAAACAAAGGCAAAGGAACAAACAATAAGGGCATGGGGAAGGGGAGCAAGAACACGGAAGAGAATAGTTGACCAGTTGATGCAATGGCTTCCTCTGTGGCTTGAAATTGCCGGATAGGAGATGTCTGTGAGGTGTGGAAGGGTCAGGAAGGGGGAACAGGCTCACTGTACCAAATCCATTCATCATCATCATCATCATCACAGCACCTCGTTGGCCTTGCCCCAGCACCAGGCACACTGCTTAGTCATCGCGGTATCTCTGATGAAATTGCTGGGGGACACTAGACTGACACTAACACCTCCTGTGTTAGAGAAAGACACACCTGCACATCTGAACTACTCCCTCCTCCTCTTTCCAAGAACTCTTTGTGAACAATCTGAATACTTCACACGTGAAGCCAATGGGATCTTAGGGAACTGTCTAAATCCTGACGGTTACTCTGAAACAGGGCCACGTAATGGCCCAGGGTAACAGTCTTCTCCAAGGCCAGAAATTTTTAAGTCTCTTGCAAAAAATCAACCAGGGTATTCGTGGAATCTCTACTGTATATTATAAATACAAGAATCAATACTTCAAAAGAATAACAATTGGGGCAGCTACATGATGCAGTGGATAAAGCACCGGCTTTGGCATCAGGAGGGCCTGAGTTCAAATCCGGCCTCAGACATTTGACACTTTCTAGCTTCATGACCTTGGGCAAGTCACTTGACCCCATTGCCTAGCCAAAAAAAACCCCAAAAAAAAAATGAATAACAATGGTTTTTCCTGATGTCCCGGGTAACCAGCCCAAGTAACTACTGAAAATAAATATGTATTAATAGCACATGATATATGTGTATATATAGCATATGCTGTTTTTTATATATAGCATATACTATATAAATATTATACACACATGTACATATATCACTGTATAATGCATCATTTGAGAGTGACAAAATGTTACATGCAACACATAGTTAAAGGCATGTATATCCATAGCACAAAGCAAATTATCCTAAGCAGTTAAAAAAGAAATACAAAGCAAAACTAGCTAGTTGTAATAATATAGATAGGCCCATAAAAAGAGCTTAACTATAATGTTAAGCATATATACAAATAAAAAATGGGCAAAACATTGCATAGCCAACATAGATGTTATATACTCCAAACAACAAAACTATGTGAGTGTATTAA